ACGTGATATCGTCTGAAAGCATGACATATGGTCATTTCTATCAAAAAATTTGACGAACTATTTGATTATGAACCAAAGTGATATAATTTAAAATTTTAGAGATTTAATCGATAAAATGAATACAATGAAGATTAAATTGACAAAACCAGCATTCTTGGGATCTCGTTTTCACTGGCTAGTCACAGGTGGGTGCAAACTTCCACTGGATTAAAGTCATTTATGTCTTGTTCAACCCTTGACAATCAAGACTTGGTTGTGCTATATCTTTAGCGAAATCCAAACATGATTAGAAACTACCAGCATTAGAATAGACGTCCCTGTCTAAATCCACTGTCATGATTGTGAATGTTGAAGAGTAGAAGATGAGGTTTCACCAATCAGATCATCACCATCTCGACCAGGTTAGTGAGAGGTGGTCCTGAAAGATGGATTCGAATTTCTTCTAATATATNAAGTTATAACTTCAATATAATACGAGTACCCAAGTTTACCCCTTCTATCGTTGTCTGATTTTGAATTAGAGCCGGGTAGTTTTGTTAATGAGAACTTTTTATCAAAAGCTAGTTGTTTCAATTTATTCTTCAAATTTGTTGAAGTATAAACATTTAAATTATTCTATCTCTAATGGCTAAAGTTTTTAGAGTAGATGATTGGTTAATTTGGTATCAAAGTAAGATAACCTGCACGTGTGGGGACGTGTTGAAGTATAAATATTTAAATTACACACTCTAACAATTTAAACTTTTCGAGTAGATGATTGTTTAACAAAGTTAGTACATTTTTTGTGAAAGCGGTGGGTTGAATCTACACTTTTTAATCAAAGAATATATTTGTAAAACACACTTTCAAATTTAAAATAAGTTGAAAAACTGCCTTATTTTGGTAAAATAAACTAGTTCGTGATATTTCCGTGATAATAACTCAGTGACACACTGATCATAATGAAATAAAACTTGATGGCGTTCTTGTTTTTTTATTAGGATTAATAATATTTTTTATCCTTAAAGCGTGCACATTCTATTAATGTAGTCCATAAAATATCAAATTTATCGATTTGGTCTTTAATATATTCAATTGATGGTTAAATGGTCTTTACACAGACGAACCGTTAAAATTTTGACTGAATGATTACATGTTGGTTACGTGATATCGTCTGAAAGCATGACATGTGGTCATTTCTATCAAAAAATTTGACGAACTATTTGATTATGAACCAAAGTGATATAATTTAAAATTTTAGAGATTTAATCGATAAAATGAATACAATGAAGATTAAATTGACAAAACTAGCATTCTTGGGATCTCGTTTTCACTGGCTAGTCACAGGTGGGTGCAAACTTCCACTGGATTAAAGTCATTTATGTCTTGTTCAACCCTTGACAATCAAGACTTGGTTGTGCTATATCTTTAGCGAAATCCAAACATGATTAGAAACTACCAGCATTAGAATAGACGTCCCTGTCTAAATCCACTGTCATGATTGTGAATGTTGAAGAGTAGAAGATGAGGTTTCACCAATCAGATCATCACCATCTCGACCAGGTTAGTGAGAGGTGGTCCTGAAAGATGGATTCGAATTTCTTCTAATATATTTCCACTTCGATTCTTTTCTTGACGCATCATCCATCCTTAACAAATAAAAAATTCACTTAAAATGCACGATAAGTAATCCGCCAATAACAGAATTAAAAAGGTATAGGAGAAAATCTCACTATGTGAAAGAGTACCTTTTCATAGCCATTACTTTTGTACATTTATTTAGGTTCAGAGATGAGACATTAAAGTTACAACATAAGTTCGTTCTTGTAAATGTAATCTTTTCGGGAATGGTTATAGTCGGCCTAGGATCTACCCTGAATTTCATGGATAATGTATGGAGTTTTATAGGATGTGTGAGTAGGTGTATCTAATTTTGATTCAAATTTGATTAGTTAAATATGTATTAAAAATTTTTATCGATAATTCAAATTCGAATCCAAATATTTCACATATTGGAAATTGGATATACTTATATCTGACTCTGTTATGATTCGATCGAATTATTTATATGTTTTTATATAAATATTAAAAAAATTAAGTGATTATTTAAAGAAATTTATGTATAATTTATTAAAATTTAATTAACCAAGTTATTTGCATTGAATCGAATTTTCGGATTGTTAATGGATATAGACCATAAAAATAAAATCCATTGAATTATTGGATTAAATTTGGATCGGAGTTTTGAAATCGAATTTAAATTTATATCAGTCACAATTCAATCCAAATTCAATCTATTGATAAATCTATGCGTGACTTAAGGCTACTTAAAAAATGTCTTTATCTGAATGAAGAAAATAGGAGAATAGTGTTACCTAGTTTTCAAGCCTTCCATGTGTTGTACAATAATGTATTCGGGAAAAAAGGTGTTTCTTTTGAGTCGTGTTTGAAGTCGTTCTTGGAAGACTAGAAACAGGGTTATAGATTTTTAACATGATTCGTTAATCTCATACACAAAATTGTTTTATGCAAGATCAACAGTCAAGTATATGATACAAAAAAATTAATGAGACAATTAATAAAACAACTAATGACAAAAAGATAAATATCGGGTCAACACGCAGATATATAGTCGTTCGATACGGGTGACTTACTCCACTCAAGAAAATGACAACGGTGGCTGGGAGACCTTTTATTAATTAAATAAGGTGAATGAGAGAGAGAGAGAGAGAGAGAGAGAGTAATAGTTAACCCCGAGAGGAATACAATAGCTAGGAGAGAGAAAAACTATGTGTGAGGTGTGTAGAGAGGTGTAGAGATGTTCCTCTCAATAGAGAGAGTTTATAATTTACAGGCATGAAGCCTTTAGATCAGGCGGTGGCGTGAGGGTAAATGTACTAGTCCTTCAAGAATGATAGTTTCAAAATATAAGTACAATCAAAAATTGCCTTGATCTTTGAGAGTGGATATCTCGATTATTATTCTCCATGTGCTATAATCTTCTTGGACTCCTTAGACCTTGAGTTGAGTCAAATTCACGAGTTAGACTTGACCTGTCTTTTAACTGATTTAAGCTTACTTAATTTATTAGATCCGGCCCACTAAAATATGGGCTCATCAAAATCGATAAAAATTGGAAGGCATGAGTTTAGGTTTAATAAATCCAAGTCTATAACAACGTTGACCGAACAAATGTATTTGATGAATGGGTGTAGAATTTGTTTAAGCACAACTATTATAATAGAGTTGAGTATGAGTTAAATAAAGTTTAACATGATATGATTTGCATGATTTAAAAATATGACACGATACGATTTCTTATGACAAATAAGGGTGTTATAATCGTGACAAAAAGTTAACGAATTATACGACAAAATTAGCAAGTTGAAGTTTGAGTGACTTGAATTGGCACGTTATTCATTTATAGGCAACTACATCTCCATCTAGATTTCAATACCCATTGAAAAGGGAGCCTAGGAGTCGCATTGCATTCGATCTCACTATCATGGATTTTAGACATTACTGAGGCCATAAGTCTACTCTCCATAAGGGTGAAAACAGGGAGTACCCCCACAGGTTAATAGGCAAAGGTCCACTTCATGCTAGTATTTATAGTATATTTTGTAAGATAGATGAAAAAATAGAAAGATAGAAAATAAGAGTAACATATTTTATATTCTNCAAGTCTACTCTCCATAAGGGTGAAAACAGGGAGTACCCCCACAGGTTAATAGGCAAAGGTCCACTTCATACTAGTATTTATAGTATATTTCGTAAGATAGATGAAAAAATAGAAAGATAGAAAATAAGAGTAACATATTTTATATTCTTCAATAATGAAATCTTTCTTTCGTTCCTTTGTGTTTGGTAGGAATAACATAAAATAGAAAGAATTGCTTTTGTGTGTGTGTGTGTGTGTTCGATAGGATGAAAAAATAGAATGATAAAATGGTATTTTTCACAAGATTTCTCGTTATTCATATCAGCATTCTCATTTCTAGAGGTGTAATTTGGGCGGGCTAACTTGATTTCAACCTGAACCCAATCCGAAAAAATTAAGACTTAAGCTAGAGTTTTTAATACTTGGATTGAGTTTGAGTCAAAAAATCCTAACTCGAATTTAATTTGGACCGGTCTCGGGTTCCCGGGTTGAACCTGAATATTAAAATCGGGTTCAATCCGAATATTCATAACCGTATATATATATTTTTTAAGTCTAGGGTTAATCTATTCTGAATTCTTCATTGTTCGCCTCCCTCACTCATTATTTAAGCAGTGAACTCTATTTTTATACAAGAATTGTGATTGTATTTATTCGTATTCTGTATGGTTGTAGTTGCATTATCTCAAACATTGAGTTTTTAATATTATGATTTTTATGTTAAAAACTTGATTGATGTTGTTCATTGTNAAGTCTAGGGTTAATCTGTTCTGAATTCTTCATTGTTCGCCTCCCTCACTTACTATTTAAGCAGTGAACTCTATTTTTATACAAGAATTGTGATTGTATTTATTCGTATTCTATATGGTTGTAGTTGCATTATCTCAAACATTGAGTTTTTAATATTATGATTTTTATGTTAAAAACTTGATTGATGTTGTTCATTGTTAATTTAGGTGAATATTATGTAATATATGTATCAGGTTTAGAACAACAAGTTTATTTTGGGTTCAACCCGTAAAGTAGTCCAAAATCATTAACCCGAATTCAACCTGAGCCCGCCTGAATTAAACTCGGGCAGTGCTCAGGTTAAGTCCCTCAACCCGAGATAGAGTTAAGGTTAAGATTAAGATTAAGATTAAAGATTATATACTTAAAATTAGATTAGAATTGACAATTCAACCCACCCAACCTGAGTTGTACCCCTGCTCACTTCTGATATCTCCAAGTTTTGTCACTAAAAACGGTATTCATAAAAAAGCCCTGTTTTGGTCCGCATACGACTGAATAGTAGTACCATGCCATTTTTTGGCCTAAGCCGTATTCACGGGCCAAACAATGAACCCAATCCCTGCCCCTTATGTGGGCTGGTCTAGTTGGGCTTATTGGCCCATGGACACCCCAAGTTGCACTGAAGATGAAGCCCAAACCGGTGACGAATAGAGTTGCGACAATCCCAAACAGAGTTAAGATTACGAGCACCGCGATTAACACCGTGTCCAAACAGCTGGAAAGCGCTCAGCATTTCCACAGCAGCCAAGCACAATCGCCTCCACAGTTCTCCCCATTCCTCGTCAGTCGTCTCTCTCTCTCTCTCTCTCTCAGAGGTTAATCTACTTGATGCGATTAGCCCTTACAATGGACGTATGAAACAGCAATTAGTGTTTGACAACAATGATCAAGCGAGTTTGGAAGATATCAGACGCAGCTCAAGTAGACTTAATCCCTTACAGATGCTCTACAAAACCCAAAACCCTAAGTAAATCCCCATTACTTACCAACATGACAAGAACCACAACCCAATCATTCATAAGAGAACTCGTCACCGAAACACGCCCTTGCCAATCGGCATTCCCCAAAATCATCGAGTTGTTCGCTGATAAATTGAGCTTAGAAGATCTTAGAAATAAGGTCNCTGACAAGAACCACAACCCAATCATTCATAAGAGAACTCGTCACCGAAACACGCCCTTGCCAATCGGCATTCCCAAAAATCATCGAGTTGTTCGCTGATAAATTGAGCTTAGAAGATCTTAGAAATAAGGTCTCTATATTGAGAGACGAAGTGTTAAGGAACTGTGAAGAAAGTGACAAGATTGAAAGAGTATTGGAAGAGAATGGGGTTTCGTTATTCCGGAGTTATTCTGATGGATCTGCTTCGATTGAGCTCTTGAAACAGTTGGATTCTTGGCCTCACTTAGCCCTTGAGGTTTTCTTCACTCATATGTTCTCTATTTATTGCAAATGCACTCACACTAGCTGATGTACAAATTACTCTGTGTAACATTGAATTTGAATAGTCAGTCACCTGAATTAAATTCGAGAAATTGTGAGTTTGACTTGTGCACTTGTTAGAGGTTGATTTATTGTTCAAAGTTACTAAGTGTACCCTCATTTTTACTTGAGAATTGTTTGATAAACAGGTTTTTTGGGACTTTGATTGATTTATACAGATTTTAGGATAATGATAATGTTTGCATTATATGCTACTCGATTGGAGTGCCCCTAATGCCAGTGGATAGTGATCTTTGATTCATAGTCATGAAAAACTGATAGGAGAGAGGAATTTTTTAAATACTGCATTTTTGAAGTTTATCATTTGCTTTGATTTTCTTCAGGTTTTCAATTGGAGAAGGAACCAAGAAGACTATAGCATTCCTATGACAACAGACGAGTATGCCAAGGGAATAATGGTGGCTGGTAGACTGAAGAATGTTGATCTGGCGGTTGAGCTTTTCACAGAAGCTGCCAACAAGGGACTTAAGACAACCTCCACTTATAATGCACTCATGGGTGCTTATATGTTTAACGGTTTTGCCTCGAAGTGTCAATCGTTGTTTCGAGACTTGAAGAGGGACGTATTCTGTAGTCCTACCATTGTAACATATAATATTCTCATTTCTGTCTTTGGTCGCTTGATGCTGGTCGATCACATGGAGGCAACATTTTCGGAGGTAAAGGATTCTAATCTCTTCCCTAATGTGAGGACATATAATAATTTAATTGCTGGATATGTTACGGCATGGATGTGGGATAATATGGAGAAGACTTATAGGATCATGGAGGCAGGTCCCGTCAAGCCTGATCTTACCACCAAATTGCTAATGCTTCGAGGGTATGCACATTCTGGTAATTTGGAAAAGATGGAAGAGATTTACGAGCTGGTGAAAAATCACATCAATTGTAAGGAGATGCCATTGATCAGAGCTATGATATGCGCATACTGTCAGAGTTCTGACATGAATAGAGTTAAAAGGATCGAATCGTTACTGAGCCTCACTCCAAAAAATGAATATAGACCATGGCTGAATGCGCTATTGATTAGGGTATATGCCCAAGAGGGTTTGGTAGAGGCAATGGAAAATTTAGTAAATGAGGCATTTGATCATAACACCTCTGTCACATCAGTGGGTATAATGCGTTCTATCATCACAAGTTATTTCCGAATCAATGCAGTGGACAGGCTTTCAAAATTTGTGACGCAAGCAGAGTGCGCTGGATGGCGAATCTGCCGGTCCCTGTACCACTGTAAGATGGTCATGTATGGGTCGCAAAATCGCCTTGCCGAAATGGAGAGGGTCCTTGAGGAGATGGAGAAATCGCACATATATCCCTCAAAAAAAACATTTGTAATATTGTGTAATGTATATTCTGGGTGGGGCCAAAGATATAAACTAGAACAGGTGTCAGGGTTGATGTGCAAACACGGGTATGGAATTCCTCTGGATGGATTCCCTTCATAGTGAACCTTTGCATTGGACAGTATATGTGTGCTGAAAAAGTCAGAGGACTTGCTATGGATATGTTCTCTTAATGGTACAGTGCACCCATCCATTCAACAACATAATTGGATTGAGAAGGCCAAAGGAGCATGCATCTAATAACTGCCAATTGTTCACTACATCTATCAGACAGCCTGCATGCTTTATCAAGTTCATTGGTAAACTAGCGGTCTTACTGTTCTTTGTTAATTGCCTCTTATTATTTACACCTTCTTTTATCATCTCTTCGTTATTTAAAATACTATTATAGGAAGTGCACATTTATAAGCGGATAAAGTTTACTCTTAGGATTATGGTTTGATACACTTGTTTCAAGAAAATAGTCTAGGATGTTGCACATTACCTTTATATTCCTTTAGTATTGTTTTGCTCATAAATATTTTTATTTCTTGCAATGGCAGAAGAGACATTTAAGAAGTACCCTTCTTTCCCAATTCATCAGGTGCATTTTGTGAATAATAGGATACATGATTGTGTAGACTGTAAATATTTAGATTTATTTAACTTTGAGACAGTGACCTGTAAATTCATTTTGGCCATTTGGGTAATATTTCCTATGATTTGCAGCAAGAAATGCTGCATCATATAGAAACCTTCCAATATGATGTGCATTTCGTGATTTTCAAATTTCTTTTTTGTGCAAATAAGGATTGCGAGTTTCTTAATTGCATATTTGGAACATTTGTTTCATGTAGAGAGAGAAAATTAACCTCATAATGATTGCTTGTATAAGTTCTCTGAAGGGGAGCCCATATGCTGTCTGGACATAGAGAACCATGCCAGCAGAAGAAAAGATGGGTCATACCATTCTGTAGGCCCTATTGTGTACCAAAAATAATTTTTATTTAGGGATTTGACCCACTTGACTACAGCTGTTATCTGCAAGATGAGTGTACTCAAATTTAATGGTTGACTTTGTTTTAGGCAGCTGAATTTGGTATACTGCTCTACTAGTGTTACCCGTTTATTGGTAGATCTCTATCCATGGTGGCCCCTTCCAAATATGCATGGTAGGTTTCATTCTCTTAGAATGTACCATGGGGTACATGATATGCATGATGATAGGAGGCACACATTCTCAGTTGAATTTCAATGTCTGAAATTAGAATTTTGGAAAATGTGATAGAAGCAATAAATGATTGTTGCAATACATATGCATTAGGACAACTTTAATTTTGTTGTAAACACACAAGCCGATGCGTTTTGTAATGGCTGAGTTAAAGGTTATGCTTTAAAGACTTTCTTGTATCAGGTTATGTGCTATGTCTTTATCGTTTTGTCCATGCTTAATATGTGACATGGATTTAATATCGGTTATAATCTTGTCCTCCGTATATATAATTCATTCGCAAATTTTGTGGCTTGAAACTTTCATTCACAAAAATGTAGTTGCTGAGGACATCCTAGGTTCAACTCATTTTCCTATCCTTCTCTTTCTTGCTCTATATATATATATATGGTTCAGTTGGTGATGATAATCTTGTATTCTAACTAATATAGCCATTCATTGGCAAATCTTGTGGCTTGAAATTTTGAGTCGCAGACTTTAATTACTGAGGAAATCCAAGGTTTTTTAGTTTTTGTTCAACCCCCCTTCATCTTTGGCTTCTTGTCTCGCTGTCGTTTTGATTCTTAGTGCCAAACTAGACCAAACAACACGGAGAATCTTATATACCTCAATCCCGACTCCAAAACCTTACTACCACAAAACCTTTTAAGAGCATGCCAAAAACCCAAATTTCGAATGATAATGCTCATACATAAAGGCCCAACTTGAAAAGTGAAAGACAAGCAGAAGCAGGTGTGGGCACAATTAGGTGAAAAAATGTCTAAAATTTGTCTACTTTATCAAAAGATAGCTCGGGATGTGGAAAGATGATTTCAACCTTGGTTCTTTATTAGATGAAATAAAACTTTATTCGACCATTTTCTTGGATTGGGGGAACCAAGTTCAATTTAGTACGCGGTATGAGTGAGGGTGGGGGTATGTTACTTTGCTCGATATGCGATGAGATGGGGTAGACTTAGTAGGCTATTTTTTGTTCTGATTCATTTTTTGAACTCGTATTCGGCTTTTCTTTATTATATGATCTTATATATTATCCTACATACACAATAGTCAATTAATATTTACTTCATGCACACATTTAAGAGTTTCAAAGGGAACTGTAATCTAAAACAACAAACGAGCTAATGTTTGTGAATTGTTGAAGTTAATGGTTTTCATATTTTTGGCAATAATTCAATTCACATCAAATTAAGATATAAGTTTAAAGATTGCAAAAATAAAGAAATGTAGTACCAGTTATGCTATAGTTTACAATTAGGATTGCAATTTGAGTTATAACTTCACTTTGTTATTGTAGTTGTTGTGAACTTGTGATTGTCATGTATGATTGATTGTCAACTTTATTCTGATGCAGGAATGGTTTTAAATTTTCTGATGCACCATGTCTAACAATATGCTGAATACTGGTGGAAAAATAAAATTCAACAAGGCCATGAAGGTGGTGTTTTCTATCGGGGAAGAATTCTTCACTACCTGTGTGCTGACTAATATGCTTGAATCCAAAAATGTAGCAGTAACTTGCTGTCTGTTGTACGGAAAATCATTTCTGAGAGGACCAGATTGAGTTGTGCCAATCCAATTCAAAACAACAAGAAGGATTATTGATGGGAACTCGCGTATTGTTTTGTAGATTCATTTTTTAGAATTAAAGCCATTGATTCTCTCCCTTGGGTTGCTTAATAAATGATGCAAGTCATCACGCATATCTGGTGGGGTGTTCTAGTAGGTCTGCATGCCTCCTTGCTAGTAGGTCTTCAAGAGACATGAGAGTGAATTATAGAAATTGTAACCATATGCCCAATCAGTAGTAGATTTAGGGTTGGCAGTTTTCTCTAAGTTACATAAGTTTGCTGTATTACTGTTGCATGAAAACAACCAATTATTTGAAGGATGGACGCTCGCATTTAACAGTTCCTTGTAAATATTGCTACTTTTCAGTTAAATGCAATTTTTGTAGGGTACAACATGAATTGCTGATCCTATGGTCTGTTAAAGTTTCATAATGATGCATGATGAAAACTATCTGAGGAAGGCTGATATTTCTTTCCCTCTTCATATAACTGAAGGATGGGGCAAGCTGCTATATATATCTGGCAAAGACAAAAACTGCTATCTCATATAATTCTTCATAGGTAACCCTATCATATAATTCTTTTGATCCGATAAAAAAATATGATTCTTTTGTAATATTGACTGTTACTCATGAACCTTTCCTGAGCTTGTTTATCTCTCGGTTCTACTGTTGTACGAGCTGTGTAAGTTAGTGAAGTACAGCAATGTCTTTTACACCAGAGTAGATGCATATAGTCTAGAGTGAAAATTTATTTATTTTGGGCCCCACATTGTGGCTCTGCATGTATTGTCATAACCCACTCTTGTATCTAGGAGATTTTTTCTTGCCATCTTTGTTTTTTGAAGGAAGGAAAACTTGATTGNTTTTTATGCATCACAAGTACTTCTTGGTTCACCCCACATTGTGGCTCTGCATGTATTGTCATAACCCACTCTTGTATCTAGGAGATTTTTTCTTGCCATCTTTGTTTTTTGAAGGAAGGAAAACTTGATTGCCAACTCCTTTTCTTCCATGAACTTCATTAACCAATTTTTGTAGTGTCAGCTAGTGTTTTCTGGTTACAGTTAATGCTCTGTATGGCACCATGGAATTCCTGTTTGGAATTGCAAGAAGACTACCTTATGCCATAATTTAGTTGAAATTTTTCTCTAATTTAATTTCCAAGGCATGTATTCCATAATTTCAAGTACAATGAGTTTTTTCTCCTGGATTCCTTCTCAATATTAATCTTTATAAATCGTCGAGTATGCCTCCTTAAATAAATTTTCTCAGATTACAGCTCGGGTACAGGTTAGTGGGCCATCTGGACAAATGTCTTGGATTCCAGACGGGCCTACTAGTTTGGATGCCTTTAATATAATTGCGGCCATTGACAATAGGTTGAGTCCCTCCCATGTATACTCACACTACTTTTTGTCTAAGGCAGAAATGCTGGTACTCATGAACCTTTCCTGAGCTTGTTTATCCCTCGGTTCTACCGTTGTATAAGCTGTGTAAGTTGGTGAAGTACAGCAATGTCCTTTACACCTGAGTATATGCACATGCCACATAGTCTAGGGTGAATATTTATTTATTTTGCATTTGTATGCATCACAAGTACTTCTTAAAGGAAGAGTTTTTCTTGATTGCCATCTTTGTTTTTTAAAGGAAGGAAAACTTGATTGCCACAACTCCTTTACTTCCATGGCCTAATCAAATTCTTTTTTTCAAATTCATGTCGACTGTTTCCTTCAACAATAAATGCCAATTCATTTTTACTCAAGGTAATTATATATGAATTGAATCAATGGAGAAGTTGTAGGACAGCATGAAAGGTTTTTGTAGTAGTACCTTCAAGTTGCTATGAGTCAATTGGCATTGAATTTGTTACAAGTACACCCAGTTGTAGCTGCCTTTTTGAGGAGTTTAACATGTGTACAGAATTGAGGTCAATTTCCAACCCCCTTTGCTTCAGTAACATTTAGGGTGCTAGTAAGCACCTAGATGTAATTTTTTTGGTAATGTTTTCTTCAATCATTTACAACTTCAAATGTTGTGAGTTTTCTTTTCCTACAGATTTCTTAAGGTTAATGCTTTGAATTTTACTGTCCTAGTTTTCGTGTTTATGCTATCAATGTAAGACATCTTATACTATATGCTGTCATGAAAGCATAAGGCTTCACCTAGTATTAAGAGCAATGCTATTGGGACCTAATTCACTATAACCTATGGATTGACTGTAGGCCCTATCAAACATTAGGACTTGGTGTTAATCCAATGATTCCAATAAAGGCACATCATTAGGTTAGCGAATTATGTCTAATTTTTAGGTTCAAATAGCATTACTCTGTAATTAAAGTTATAGCTTCTGTAGTATGTTTTGTATGTGGCTATACTATCATTATGTAAATATTAAAGCAATTTTTCTGAGATGTATTACAGTTGATAATTTGTATTATTTTCAAAAATATGATCCAATTTAACTGATGAAGTTTGTTGTGGCTCCAAACCAATTACATCGACCTGTATCAAATTCATTGGGCTGATCGGTTTGTATGTAGACCCTACCTTTTGTTTTTTGTATTTTGTTTCATATATTCTATTGGCAACAAGGAACATCCAGATAGAGTTATTCTTTGGAAACCATGGATAAACATATCCTGTAGTTGCCAAGTTAACTTTTGTTGTATTTTCCTTCTCCACACTCTTGTTGAAGCATTTTCTGGGTGTTCCTGCGGCTATGTTCTCATGTTTGGAGAACCCATGTATGACCCGAACCGATAGTTCTCTTCCATGAGTATCGAGGAACAATTTGATGCTCTAGGCAGGGCTGTTGATGCTGGTAAGGTGAGTGATCGTATGCTGAGTTTTACGTTTCTAGCCAATCTTTCTTCAATATGATCTTCGTCTGAGTATAGAACAGATATAATTGCTTGCTGATCAGATACCTTGGACTCAGTAACGAAACACCATATGGCATGATGAAGTTCCTACAGGTTGCTGAAACAGATTCTCAGAGTCCCAGGATAGTGTCTGTGCAGGTGTTGACTGTTGTATTGCTAGTGCTCAGTTAAGGTTACCACCCCCCCCCCCCCACAAAAAAAAAAAAAA